CTCTCCGTCTTTCTCCTTCAGCCTCTCCACCCGTCTGTCTCCGTCTCTCCGTCATTCTCTCCTTAGCCTCTCCATCCGTCTGTCTCCCGTCTCTCCGTCATTCTCTCCTTCAGTCTCTCCATCCATCTGTCTCCCGTCTCTCCGTCTTTCTCTCCTTCAACCTCCCCATCCGTCTGTCTCCCGTCTCTCCGTCTTTCTCCTTCAGCCTCTCCATCCGTCTGTCTCCCGTCTATCCGTCTTTCTCTCCTTAAGCCTCTCCATCCGTCTGTCTCCCGTCTCTCGTCTTTCTCTCCTTCAGCCTCTCCATCCGTCTGTCTCCCGTCTCTCCGTCTTTCTCTCCTTCAACCTCCCCCATCCGTCTGTCTCCCGTCTCTCCGTCTTTCTCTCCTTCAGCCTCTCACCGTCTGTCTCCCGTCTTCTCTCCGTCATTCTCTCCTTAAGCCTCTCCATCCGTCTGTCTCCCGTCTCTCCGTCATTCTCTCCTTCAGTCTCTCCATCCATCTGTCTCCCGTCTCTCCGTCTTTCTCCTTCAACCTCCCCATCCGTCTGTCTCCCGTCTCTCCGTCTTTCTCTCCTTCAGCCTCTCCATCCGTCTGTCTCCCGTCTATCCGTCTTTCTCTCCTTAAGCCTCTCCATCCGTCTGTCTCCCGTCTCTCCGTCTTTCTCCTTCAGCCTCTCCATCCGTCTGTCTCCCGTCTCTCCGTCTTTCTCTCCTTCAGCCTCTCCATCCGTCTGTCTCCCGTCTCTCCGTCATTCTCTCCTTCAGCCTCTCCATCCGTCTGTCTCCCGTCTCTCCGTCAACACGCACCACTGAGGCAAATTTCTTGGGAGTTTAAGTGCTTGTGACGCCGAGGAGGAGGAGGAGGAGGAGGAGGAGGAGGAGGAGGAGGTGCAAGGTGAGGGTGAAGCCTTAATTGGTGTGTGAGGCTCCCCTACTGACGTCACTACTACCTCATACTTCACTTACTCACGTTTATATGGGATTTAACTCACACCTGAATGAGCCCTGCAGTCACACTTATTTTCCACACACTATGCTCACTTTCTCACACTTACACTCACTTCCTCACACTTACACTCACTTCCTCACACTTAAACTCACTTTCTCACACTTACACTCACTTCCTCATACCACTCACTTCCTCACACTTATGCTCACTTTCTCACACTTACACTCACTTCCTCACACTTACACTCACTTCCTCACACTTAAACTCACTTTCTCACACTTACACTCACTTCCTCATACTTACACTCACTTCCTCACATTTACACTCACTTTCTCACACTTACACTCACTTCCTCACACTTACACTCACTTCCTCACACTTAAACTCACTTTCTCACACTTACACTCACTTCCTCATACTTACACTCACTTCCTCACATTTACACTCACTTTCTCACACTTACACTCACTTCCTCACACTTACACTCACTTCCTCACACTTACTTCCTCACACTCACTTCCTCACACTCGGTCCCACACACACTTACTCGACTCTAACACCCTCCCCCACCCCCCCAAAGCTGGTCACTGGTGGTGGGGGACACCTGCCTTAATGCCGTTGATGGGCGGCTTCCTCCACCACCATCTGTCCGCCCGCCACCCTCACGCCCACCCATACACCTTCCCACCCTCCACGCCCACCCATACACCTCCCCACCCTCCATCCTCACGCCCACTCACCCACATCTTTTATCCTCCACCTTTTTCCCGCCCGTTCCTCCTCCAGTTTTACACACACACACACACACACACACACACACACACACACACACACACACACCACCCCACACACATACACCCCCCACACACACACACCCCCACACTAACCCCACAGCAAATACCTACCTGTCCCACACACTACGGTAAACACTGCCCACAAACAAACAAACAAACAAGGACAGAGAAGGGAAGAACAAACATAAACACTAAGTTATAAAAAACAAGAATAAACAAACAAACAAAAAATACCAAACAAGGAACAAACACAGACAAGGGTATACACAAACCATCAATGGAACAAAACATAAAACAAACACACATTAAGAGCAAAGAAACACCCAAACAACAATAAACAACGAAACAAAGAACAAACACCAGCAAGAATAATAGAGGAACAAAAACACACAGACAAAACAAAAACACAAATTCTTCAGAAACAAAAACAGACGAGGAACAGAAACCCAACACACACACACACACACACACACACACGCACACACACACACACACTATCACCAGCCGAGATACAACACAGACTGGTGGTATTACAATGGTGACAACATAATATAACCTATGGCACCAAGACCCCCCCCCCTGCAGGTGTTCGTCCGTCCGTCCGTCGTGTCACCAAGAAGCCCTACACAGTTCTTCACCAAGTTATATAATATGATTCACCAAAATTCCTGTGATGGTGATTTTTTTTCCTTATGTGTGAGGCCACGGGTCACCAAGTAAGGAATGGTGGATGACACAGCGATTTCTACTCCTCTTGTTATTGTCACCAAGTGCATTCACCACCACCACCATCACCATCATCATCAGGAAATATTACTGAATGGTGTCCCGTGGCTGCTGACTTGGTGTGTGTGTGTGTCACACCAGGTTAAAGGAAGACTTGTTACTTATCCTGTTATTGCAATCACCAAGCATAGAATCACCATTATCTTCACCACCAGGGTATACAACAAGAGCAATCACGCCACTATAACAACCACAATACAATCACCACAACAACCACAACACAAACAATAACTGATACAACTTCAACCACCACAGAGGCACACCATCTACCACACTACCACAATCGCACCCACGCTACCACAATCGCACCTACACTACCACAATCGTACCCACACTACCACAATCGTACCCACACTACCACAATCGTACCCACACTACCACAATCGTACCCACACTATCACAATCGAATACCCACACTATCACAATCGAATACCCACACTACCACAATCGTACCCACACTACCACGTACCCACAATTGTACCTACACTACCACAATCACCACAATCATTCCTGAATCACCACAACCACTATCGTACCTACACTAACAAAACCACAAAGGCAACCACCATCAATCCCATAACAACCACAATTACCACAACCACCATCTCCCTCCCTACCAGTAAGCACAGGAGTGATATCAACAAACAGACAGACAGACAGACAGACAGACAGACAAACAGACAGTGTGGACGCGTGACCAATTCCCTCGCCGAGCAACAAGTGGACGCCCATAAAACACACTAAGTAAACAATGACGTCAAACTGTATGGGGAGTAAGGGGGGGAAAGGGGTAAACACACGCTGATGTAAACAAATGCGGTCACACAGGTATATAAACAATTGCGTCACACGGAGGGTCAAAGAGATGTAAACAATGGCGTAACACATGGAAATAAACTCTGACGTAATACAGCTAGGTGAGCACCGTAACCTGAGGTGGTGTATACTTAAGAAACACTACCTCACTCTCTCCACACCTCACCCTCTCCACACCTCACCCCCTCCACACCTCACCCTCTCCACACCTCACCCTCCCACACCTCACCCTCACCTCACCCTCTCTACACCTCACCCCTCTACACCTCACCCCCCCTCCACACCTCACCCTCTCCACCTCACCCCCCTCCACACCTCACCCCTCCACCTCACCCCTCCACACCTCACCCTCTCTCACACCCACCTCACCCTCTCACACCTCACCCCCTACCTCACCCCTCCACACCTCCACCCCTCCACACATCACCCTCTCCACACCTCACCCCCTCCCACCTCCACCCCCCTCCATCACCCCCTCCACACCTCACCCCTCCACACCTCACCCCTCCACCTCACCCCTCCCACCTCACCCCTCCACACCTCCACCCCTCACCTCACCCTCTCCACACCTCACCCTCTCCACACATCACCCCCTCCACACCTCACCCTCTCCACACCTCACCCCTCCACCTCACCTCCACCTCACCCCCCTCCACACCTCACCCCCTCCACACTTCACCCCTCTCACCTCACCCCACTACACCTCCCCCTCCACACCTCACTCCCTCCACACCTCACCCCTCCACACATCACCCCTCCACCTCACCCTCTCACCTCACCCTCTCCACACATCACTTACCTCCACCTCACCCTCTCCCACCTCACCCTCTCACACCTCACCCTCTCCACACATCACCCCCTCCACACCTCACCCCCTCCACACCTCACCCTCTCACACCTCACCCCTCCACCTCACCCCCTACACCTCACCCTCTCCACACCTCACCCCCTCCACACCTCACCCCCTCCACACCTCTTTCTCCACACCCCCTCCACACACACACTTCCACCTATCATCCCCACATCCTCTGTCACCTCAAGTCACCTCAACATTCTTACTTCTTTACTCACCTCAAGTCACCTCAACATTCTACTTCCTCACTCACCTATGCTTCCCCTTGCTTGACCCTCTTCCTTAACTACTACACTATGAGGACTACCAAAGGGCGTGCAGAAGTGGGCGTGCAGAAGTGGGCGTGTAAGACTATTCTCTCTCGCCCTCTCTTACACCACACATCAAGAGGCTCTCAGTTTACTGGCCATCTCACCTCTCTCTGATCATCATCGTGACCTCATTTGTTAGTTTGGGACAAGGTTGTTACACCGTCCTCGTCACCTGCTGCCAACCTGAGATCCGCCACACCATAACAGCATCCAGTCCATACGACCACGCACCGAACAGCCTCATCCTAACCATTGTATAGATCATTAACAACCATTAGATAGATAATTGCTGTGTCTAGATAGTAGCGGCCCCGTAGTGAAGGTGTTAATGCAAAACCCTTAACAGCAACCCGGTTAATGGGACGGTTAATGGTGCTCAGCCGTCTCTCAGAACATACACACAAGGACAGACAAACCGAACAGAGAATTAATTTTTATACAATATTAGGATTATTAGGATTATTTATTACCTCAAGACAGACAATATTAC